CCCTGCTGACGAGACCAGGCTGGCGACCGCCCCGGAGCGCGTCGGGACGGCCAGCCCCACGCGGCCTGCCCGCGGCGGTAGCGCCGCTCCCGGGCGGGAGGGCTGGGGCCGTCCGGGCTCTGCCGCCTCTCTCGCTCGGGTGCTGCGAGGCCCTGGCGTAGGGAACTCAAATCCTTGCGTTCAGAATGCTCTGCGCAGCTAAGAGTAACGTCTTGTCCCTATTCCAGCTCTGGATGTCGATGAAGCAAGCATCGCAATTAATGCTTCAGCTTTGAAGGCAGTTCCTAAGGCCACGTCAAAACATAGTACTAATAAATGTACTTTGTAAAACCTTTCAGACCGTGCTGTATCTGCTAATTTTCAAAGCTATGTTATAGCACCATCCAGTTTTGGATTATAACTGATACGGTGAAGTTCAGTTCTCTAGGCTTACTTGAAGGCACTACTAAGCAGGTTTGGGGGTTTTTTTCCACTGTGTAGAGCTCTAAGTATCCCTCTTGCCATCTGACTCTTGTGATCTCAAAACCAAGATTGAATGTTTTGCTTTTTATTAAGTGATAAAGGAACTTGCAGGTGTGGAGAACAGGCTGTATGTTTCTCCTCACCTCACAGGCTCTTAAGTGGTGTTGGTGTTCTGTCTTTCTCTGTGGAAAATATACTATTGGTTACAAAATGCAAAATACAAACGAGTGACTTTATTGATCATTCTAAAAGTCCAAAGTCCTTATTTTTCAGCTAGCTGATACAACAGCCAATTGCCAGGAACACATACTTCCATAAAAGTCGAATGAATAGAGTGTGCAGGGGAATTAGTCTTTTCTAGGAAGGACATTGACTGTTTGAATATACAGTTGCATTACAGATGTAATGTTTAGTAGACAAAATTATTTTAAAACTGGATTTTGGGACAGCTGATTAATAATCAAATTAGTGGTATCCATCAGCACCCTAGGTTTCTTTCTAGGGAATGCTGGTATTCATAACTGAACTCGCTCACTGTCTTTTGGTGTACATCTGTGCAAGTCTTCTAATGTACACAGGTATTAATGTGTAGCATGTGTTTAATTATTAACCTCTACAGACATGTGATGCTACCAAGAGAGCTTTCAAAACAAGTACCAAAATCCCATCTAATGTCTGAAGAGGAGTGGAGACGACTTGGTGTTCAGCAAAGTCTTGGCTGGGTTCACTATATGATCCATGAGCCAGGTAAGCACATCTGAACAGAATTAGATGAACAAAAGGTCTAAAATATCAACTGTTTGGTGCTCAGCTGAAGTGTGTAGTGCATAGTTGCTCTTGCTGTAGAATCCAGCTGGAATTCACTGCTGAATATTTAGACTCCTCTTTATCTCCTTGCTATTTTAGCCATTTGTCAACAAAGACAACATAACAACCTTTATTTTAAACCTTCACGTCTTGCTCCCAGCAATGCAGAATGTGAGCCTTGTCCTAGCTATATGTGGTTTATCTGTAGACAAAAAAAAACATGCCTCACTGGAAACTGTTCCCACCTCTGCCTATCAAAATAGGTTTCTCGTGAGCTCTTGAATAATGTTATCTTGATGACCAAACCAAACTTTATGTAGCAGCATATCTTTAAATTATAAAGCTCACAAGGCTGGTTTTTTTGTTTGTTTGTTTGTTTTTGTTTTTGTTTTTTTTTTAAAAAGCTCATGGAGGTCCTGTATTCATGCTCTGAAAAGTCTAGGTATAGCGAAGTCTGGTTATACAGCGTACTAAAAGCAGCACTTCAAAGCACTCTTTCAGTTAATGGAGTGTGAAGCCCTAAAGCTCTACCAACTAGGATGTACTGAAAACAGCCAGTGAAGATAACTTACTAGTGACAGGCCTGACTCAAAAGTAACTGGTGATAAATGTACTGCAGCAGCATGGAGTAGCAAGTTTTAGATGAACCAGCTGAAGAAATCGGTGTAACCTTCCACAGTTCCCCTTACCTGGACACCCTTTATACTCTGGGCTTTTTTAGGAGTTTATGATTAAGTCAAATCAGTAACAATGTATACAGTCTCTATTAACAAAGGTGGCTCTTGTTGATGCTTGACACCATCTATGTAACTAACAAGGACAGTATCAGCAGTTTGTTAGTCTAAGTTAAAGTAACAAAGCTCATCAAATAGCCTAATGTGGAGAGACAGAGATAGTACTGCTACTCATGAAAAATACTCTGTATTTTTTCCAGTACTTCCCTCCTGAAAGTCTCTTATGATACTGCCAACATTTGGTATAAAAATTTCAAAAGCACCTGTTCGTCTGTAGTAAGGTTACTGCAAAGTTGGTCTGTAGATACTACACATGGGACCATATTTGTGGATGTGACTTTTTAATCTGTTCATTATTTGATGTCAAGCTCCAACTGTTGTTCAAGACTTCTTAAATGTAATAAATACCTGTAATCAAGATATAGGTGACAGACTGATACTTTGTTCCATTTTATTTCTGCAGAACCGCATATTCTTCTCTTCAGAAGACCTCTTCCAAAGGATGAGCAGAAATGAACCATTGTCTATAAACCTTCTCCCAAATCTTCTGGAACTATGTATATGAGTGTATATATGTTGGTAGTATTCAGTGAATACTTTAAAATGTTCAAAACATACAACCTTACCTGTGCATGAGCTGTATTATTCACAGCAACAAAGCTCAGTCAAATGCAATTCCAAGTAGGCTGCTATGGTGTTCAAAGAGTGATAAATTTATCTTCCTTGCTGTTAATGAAAGTGCCTCTCTGACTTTTCAGTGAATTTTGTTTATTAAAGTTTGCATTGCATGTTCTGACTAGATGATCACTTGTTACCTGTGTTCAATAACTTTTGCACTCGGCTTTTCTGCTGAAGTGTAGCATGTTCAAATCTAGCGGCTCACCTGTTTAGTAGTAGGCATAAAGAAATAAACTCTATTTTTAATGCTTTATGAAACCTCAGTTTCTAGAGTTCTAATTCACCAGACTAAACAAATATTTGCTAACATGTTAAGAGTACCTACTTCAGAAAAAAAAAACAAAACAAACAACTTAGTGAACCTATCTTGTTTCTCTGCAAGAATTATTTTGCCATACGGGCCGAAGTTCCTAACCCTGATTTGAATTGGGAACCACAGGCAATCTGAAAAGAAAGTTGTCAGTGGTAGGTAATACTCAGCCCAGCTTCTGACATGCTCAAATTATGGGACTCTGTAGTTGAAGTAGGTTGTAATGCGATTAATCATCCTGCAATGACTAATTGTCATCCTGCTTCTCATGTAGTGTCTGGTGGTAGGATGTGAGGGAATGGTTTAATGCTGTGTCAAGGGAAGTTCAGGGTGAATATCAGGCAAAAGTTATTCACTGAGAGGACAGTCAAGCATTGGAACAAGCTCCCCGGGGAAGTGGTCATGGTCCCAAGACTGTTGGTGTTGAAGAACTATTTGGACAATGCTCTTGCAGGTATGGTTTAACTTTGAGGTTGCCCAATGTGTAGTTAGGAGTTGGACTTGATCCTTGTGGGTCCTTTCAAACTCAGGATATTCAATGACAACTTGGTATAAACTTGTCTTAAGGTTTTAAATAGTACTTAATATTTCATAGAGATATTTTTATGCTTTTTTGATTTAGTTGGTAGTACTGAGTGCTCTTCATCTGATAAAAGCAGCTGCTAGTTGTAGGCCAGTATAGACTCAGTTTCCTCACCATATAGAAGGTCAGGACTAATACGGTGAAATTGATCAGTCATTTTTTGGGATGCTGTGTGCCAGCAAAGGTGAACCTCTGGATGGATTCAGTCTGAGAAGGTCAGAGGTAATAAATTTGCATTTGAATGGTCACTGTGGCATCTTGGGACTCTGTTACCAGCAGCCACACAACCAGATTTTTTAAAAAAGGTGCTTTAAAGGATATTTGGTGTTTGATTAACTCTGCATAGTACCAGTGGTTGGTCCATTTTGAATGCAAGCTAGCATTACACCTGTGACATGGAAGGCCAACAGAACCAGGAACACCTGCATATAGCTTAACGGATAGAGTACATGCTCTCCCTGGTAATGCCTGCTTACGGTTAAGGCAGAGGTAAGTAACCTGCCAAATCTGGTGAGGAAAATAAACCCTGTGGTCTTTCCTCCAAAGGTGCTAGAGATGTCTGTCTTGGCGTGGTCAAGCCATCTGTAACAGGCTTTGCGCTGAAGTGCAAGACTTAGAGGGGGGCTCGCCCAGGGCCGAGCAGACACCTC